ACAGCAACCTCCAACTCCTGGGCTCAAGTGAGTCTCCTGCCTCTGCCTCCCTAGTAGCTAGGGTTATAGGCACCTGCCACAACACCCAGCTATTTTTTGGTTGCAGCCATCATTGTTAGATGATGTCAGATCTTAACTGTAATAACAAGAGAACAAAGAGGGCCAGGCACAGCGACTCACACTTTTAATGAGCCACTTGGGATGTGGAGGCAAGTGGATTGAGTGGTGACACCACAGCACTCTACCGAGGTCGAAAAAGTAAGATTCTGTCTCAAAAAACAAACAAACAAAAAAAGCAAGGCATGGGGGGAGGGGAAAGACTTCAGAACTCACCAACAAAAACTGAATGGACATTAAGTATAGATACGAAGAACTGGGCTCGGTGCCTGTAACTCAGTGGCAAGGCAGCCAGCCATGTACACCAGAGCTGGCAGGTTCGAATCTAGCCTGGGCCCGCCAAACTATGACAACTACAACCAAAAAATAGCTGGGCGTTGTGGTGGGCACCTGTAGTCCCAGCTACTTCAGAGGCTGAGACAAGAGAACTGCTTAAGCCCAAGAGTTTGAGGTTGCTGTGAGCTGTGACGTCAAGCACTCTACTCAGGGCAACAGCTTGAGACTCTGTCTCAAAAGAAAAAAAATGAAGAACTGATAAATCTAAATGGAATTAAAGCCATCCCTAAGAAACAGTACCCTCATTCTCCTTTTGGTAGGGGTAGTGGAGACTTTGAGTTAGCTGATAAATCTAAGAGAAAGTAATGGAAGGAAGGGCTTAAAAAAAGATCAAAATGGAAGATCCTCAAAACCATCAGAGGGATGGATGTGCTCTTTTGCATTATGTAAATACATGTTCAATTTAGCTTATAAATCCTTCCATTAACCCTAAGTCAAGTACTAGACTGTCTCTGCTTTCTCTTTTGTTTCATTTCATTTTATGGTATTCTATTCTACTTTCCAATGCTGTCCTCACATATGTTTTATTTCACCTACCCCACCTTGGACTCTGACGCTCCATAGGTAAGTAATTTCAACCTTTTTTAGCAAATTCTTCTACTACTGATTACCATCATTATTTTTCTAACCTCCATAAGTTTAAATATACTGTTTACATTGCCAATTTTAGGTATTTCCATTTTAAATTTACTAGAATGGAAGATGAGGATTTGGCACTCTCCAACACATATACTTCTTCACCTTCCCACTCATACATCCTGACTTAAGATGTACCTCAAAATAAAATTACCCAAGGCTCAGTGCCTGTCGCTCAGTGGTTAGGGCACTGGCCACATACACCGGGGCTGGTGGGTTCAAACCCAGCCTGGGCCAGCTACACAACAATGACAACTACAACAAAAATATAGCCAGGGTGTTGTGGAGGGTGCCTATAGTCCCAGCTACTTGGGAGACTGAGGCAAGGGAATTGCTTAAGCCCAAGAGTTTGAGGTTGCTGTGAGCAGTGATGCCATGGCACTCTACCCAGGGCAACAGTTTGAGACTCTGTCTCAAAAAAATAGAGTTCAAGATCAGTCTGAGCAACACACCAAGACCCCGATCTCTACATAAAACAAAAATATTTAGCCAGGCCTAGTACCACAGATGAGTTCTTAAGTTTGAAGCTACAGTTAGGTAGTAATTATACCATTGCACTCTGGCTTAGGGGAGAGAGTAAGACTCTATCTGGAAAAAACTGTGAAATTATAATACAAATAAGTGGTACGCACTAAAATGAACAGACAGGTTTTCAACTATTCAATGATTATATCCTGTCTACAAATCTAAACTATCCAGGACTCAATTCTTTATTAATACTAAGTCAAATTTTCACTGATTACTTATCATATAATGTCAAGTTGAATGTGTATTAAATATCATTACATACAAAGCACCATTCTTCTTTCACTTGGGTTTACCTCTTTGTGTAGAATCAGGGGATATACCTTTATCTCTGCTTATGCTGATTACCAGCTATCAGTCATATTACCATGCTTAATGTGGGTGAACAAATGAATCTCTTACCCTTACTCTAATATCCAATAGTGTTCATAATCCCTTATCAAATTCTAAAAATTCAAAAAACTCTGAAAACCAAGAGTTTTCCTTAATTTCAACACCAAAACTAATTGAGTGACTTCAAACTATACGAGACTATTTATAGTCTTTATCCCACTTTTGTTTGAATAGACTGGTGGTTCTTAACTGGGGGTGATTTTGCCCTAAGGGTGTTATGTGGCAATGCCTAGAGACATTTTGGGTTGTCAAAACTGGATGAAAGGCGCTACTGACATCTAGTGGGTAAAAGTTAGAAATGCCATTAATGTGCAGAGACAACTCCCTGCCACAAATTATTTGGCCCCAAAATGTCAATAGTGCTGAGGCTAAGAAACTCTGGACTTGACCATATTTTATTGACGATACATCAATATGTTGATTACTGAGGCTGCTTCTGATATTTCTGAGGGCATTATAGGATACATCATAAAAAGATAGTATTTACTATTCAAAAATCAGAAAAATTCTTTTTTTTTTTGAGACAGAGCCTCCAGCTGTCCCCCTAGGTAGAGTGCCATGGCATTACAGCTCACAGCAACCTCCAACTCCTGGGCTCAAGCGAGTCTCCTGCCTCTGCCTCCCAAGTAGCTGGGACCACAGGCGCCCACCACAACGCCCGGCTATTTTTTTTTTTTTTTGGTTGCAGCCGTAGTTGTTTGGCGGGTCCGGGCTGGGGATTCGAACCCGCCACCTTAGGTGTACGTGGCTGGCGCCTTAGCCGGTTGAGCTATAGGCGCCGAGCCAGAAAAATTCTTAATTCCAAAATACTGCTGGCTCTAGGGATATCGGACAGGGAACTCTCCATTCTAATAACAGCAGTTCTTCCCCAAATATCACAAATCCTATTAAGGTCAGGAAGCAATAAACTAGCCAAGTTCTCAAAAAAAATAAAAGAGTTACAGAAATTTATTGGCTATAATAACAAGTAGGATGAGTAACAACTTTATGGTTTCACTCTTTTTAAAAATAGTGCCTAAATATTAATATCAGTTGTCTTCTTGACTATATTTTATTATTCTTACCACAAAAGATATTAGCATGGGCTGCTATAAACTAATAACTAGGACTCAGAAACCCATAAGAGCTATTTACCTTTCTCAGTGCCTGAGAATATGGAGATGATTTTATTCCTGGGCTTTTTTTCCTCTGGAACAGAGGGCAAAGGTTTCAAGCTGTGATTGGCTGACAAAGTGTCCTTGCCTCCAGTGCTGAAAATGGTACTGCTCATTCGCACAGGCGGTGCTGGAGGCTTGTCTTCCAGTTCTCCGTTATCAGACATGATTCAGAATTATGAAATGACCTGAAACAGGCAAAAAAAAAAAAAAAAGAAAAACACAATTAACAAGATAAACATTACAAACACAGAAACAGTACTAACTACCCCCTGCCACAACTCTAAATTAGAGAATGTTACTCATTTAGAATGACAGTTGCAAAATCTAGAAATATCAATTTTTCCAAAATCTAGAAAAATCAATGTTGATAACTGGTTATCAACAAAAGTAATCTCCCCTAACAAAGTTAATAAATGGTTACCTAAGGGAAAGTTTAAAAAGCCAAGGGAAAGCATGATCAGAATAACATACATCTTAATCAATAGATTCTAAGAGGCTAGTCTAACCAAAGATGAACAACATAGAATCTTAAAAGAATTCCAAAAAGAGATTATGTTCCCACCAGTTAATCAAATGGAGGGCTGGCTATTAAACCTATCAACAATACCCCTCTAATCAGATCCCATAGCAGCCTTCTGGTTACAACTTAGCCTTCACATACCGTGCTAACAATGCAATATTTGGTCTCTCTGTAAATTTGACATTCTAATTTACACACATTCATCTCTTTTGTAGTCACATAAAGTTTAATCTGGGTATAATGACAAAATCAAATCCAGAGTGTGGCCACAAGCCTCCAAGATTCTGTGACATTATAATTCCCTATCCAGTCAACCTCTCTTATCCACATGGTTAATTCAGTTGAAATTTCAACTTTGTTTTGTTTTGTTTTTTGAGACAGAGCCACAAGCTGTCCCCCTGGGTAGAGTGCCGTAGCATAGCTCACAGCAACCTCCAACTCCTGGGCTCAAGCAAGTCTCCTGCCTCTGCCTCCTAAGTTGCTGGGACC